AATTGTCTCCATTGAGTTTGATGGAGAGTTGAGAACCAACATTCAAAATGATCAGTTTGTCTGCCGGTAATGACACATTGGACGTTATTTCAGTGTCAGAAGGTGAAGTCATAGTAAGGATCGTGAGAGAGAGAGAGAGAGAAAATTGAGAGGAAAAAAATTTCTTTTAAGCTTTTACGCTCTGAATACCATGAAGAGAATGATATTACAATGTATTATTCTAGTCATAAATGCTGAATATTTATAGATACAAAAGAAACATGATTGTATAACTAATTCATAATCTTAAGGAAGCTCTTATGCCGATTCCTAACATCAAGACATGAATGATTCAAACTATAACAAATCATATGTACATTAATAAGAATGGTTGGTTACACCTAAATTATATGAACAACTTATAATTATCTCTTATTAGATACATCAAGTTATGCCATTAGAAGTATTTTCCTAATTTTCTACTAGAACTATTTCAATAATCAAGCATTATTATTAATTACGAAAATTATATTTTTTCTACTACTACTAATTGTAGTTAATCAGTCCTTATTGTTTGTTTCTATTTAATGTTTTGCACAAATCTAGAACAATCGAATAAAAAATTCATCCTTATTCTTAATATTTTTGTTATTAATGTTCTTATTCTTTTAAATTATTACATAGTTCATTCAAAGGCACCACTTTCAATTTACTCTACTCAAGCTTTAAGAATGAAGAAAGAAGATCATATTGATGTTATTATTAAAGTATTATTAGAGTGATTTAAAAGGGAGTGTATTGACGGTATAAAATAGTTGTAAAATAATTTTATATTGTCATTCAATAAAAATTAAATATTTTATTATGTCATTAAGTTTTTTAAAAAATAAAAGAATGATTTAATTGAATACATAGTTGTCATTGATTGATAGTATTGTGATTGATTGATAGTATAAAATTATATTACAATGTACATCAACCATTTTCTCTATTAGAGTTGATATTCATGCCTGAGAGAGATAAAAGGTATGAGAGTGCATGATATTCATGCTTATAATTTTATTCATTGATTGTTACAAGTGTGTAAGCTGTGTAACTTCTATTTATATTGAGTCTCAACCAAAGTAACTTTTACCAATTCTAACTCATCATTCATCTCTTATTTTTTAATTGTTAAAATCTATCTAATATGTCTAGTTTTCGTTCAATTTTCTTTCATACTTGTCCATTTTGTAAAGCATTAAATTTTATACTTTCAAGAATGAATTAGTAGAAAAATAAGTGTTAAATAAAGAACTTGAAATATTGAAGAGATTCTAACTATTAAAGAATGTGATATGAATGATGAGTTACATGATACTCGTAAATCATTGATTAGTGTAAGTTATTCTTCAAATATTTATTTTTCATACACACACACACACACACACACACACACACACACACACACACACACACACACAGGCACGCACGCGCTCGCACGCGCGCATACACACACGCACACACTCACTCTTTAATAGTTAGAGAATCTCTTCAATGTTTCAAGTTATTTATTCAACACTTCCTTTTCTACTAATTCATTCTTGAAAATATAAAATTTAATGCTTTGTAAAATGGATAAGTATGGAAGAAAGTTGAACGAAAACTAGACATATTGGGTAGATTTTAACAAATTAAAAAACAAGAGATGAATGATGAGTTGCGGAATCCTAAAAAAACATTAATTAGTGTAATATATGTTTTAAATACAACATAATTTTTCATATTTTTATTTCCAAAATCAATTTAATAGGTTATATGTTCAAAAAGGGGTTAGTCAAACAAACAGTCAACATTATATATAATAAACTCAACTCGACAAAATAAGATGAGAAAATATGAGTAATTTGTACAATAGTGAACACACAAAATCCTAACACTAAAGACTCCTATTTATACTAATTCGAAACTAACCGTAACGAACAGTCTTCTTTTCCAAGGATGACACGTTCTTGTTTTACATGTCTCTTGCCTTTCGCAGGCTGCCAAAATTCAGTTATCAGCCTCATTCAAATATCTCTGTTGAATCCACTTTGAATATCTTCAAAAATGCTAAGTCTCACCATTGTATCACTTTGCCAGCATAAACCTTTTTTAACAAGCTTCGGTCGAAATGTTAACCCATCTTTTATTCTTTTCGAAACTATCTACAACTTATATCCAATGCTCTTCTCAAATTCTCTTCGAATCTCTTTATTCCTCCCAGCATCGAATTTCTAATTAACAAATTTCTCTCCAAAAATGTTTTTTCTGATAAACACAAAAAAGGACATTTTTTGAAGACTTTCGACGCGAGCACCATTATTGTTGTGATATCACGATCATAATGACCACTTTCCAAACGTCTCATTGAGACGTGCATTGCTGCAAATAATCATCACCCCTATAAACTAGAAGTATGGTGGTAAATGTGCAGACAACCATCTGTACCTCCTCTTAGAAAACTCCACGCGCCCCACTAACTCTTCATTTACCATTCAAATACAATTTGAAACTGTTTCTTCTCCTTCCTATAAGTACTGAATTCTTTACCTTTTTAACACTTTTCCAACTCTAAGCTCTCAAAACCGTGATACCTTGAATTTTTGCTTCAAAACCTTACCAATCTTCAATCTTTCAAGCTTCGAGACATTCAACAATGGTGCCCAAAGCAACCAAAACATCTAAGCAATGACAACAGAAGGAGGCTTCACAATCTATCGTTCAAATCTTTAAGCCATTGCAAGTGGGGAATTAGGAGTGCGTTCCTGGACCTCCTCTTCTTGAGGAAAAAACCAGAATCTATTAGTCTTAGGTACACATCCCTCTAACCATTTATGGTGAGACGCACACATTCATGGGTCCTTTGCCTGACCCTGCTGCAGATGCTGAAAAAATCTTGGAGTTTTTTCTTGTTCACCTTCGTACCAAACCTTGGCTAGCAAGAGGAAAACAAATAGTAAGGGCAAGGTTATACCTCATGCTCAACCCAAACCTGTAGAGGGTTAAGGGAAGTCTTCGAATGATGTTTTAGCTGCCCAAAATTCCATTATCTTAGATTACATGAGCAACACTCTTAGAGTGTTTCGCTCTTACCCCCTGGAGAAAGATCTTGAGGCGTACTATGTTTGGCTCGCCAAAGTCGAACAAAAGAAATCTCAATTCTAGAAAGAAATAGAGATCTATGACCTGATTCAGCTGTCAAAATCTAGTATGGAATATATCTAAAACATGTTGGTGGCTTCATTGTACTTCTGGGGTGCCTCCCTCAACACTTTCCATTTCTCTTGCGAAATGATGACTTCTACTCTCTTCGACATCACTGCAACCACTGAACTTCGAACAATCGGGGAGACTTTGACCCATTTGAGATGGATGAAGACACCATCAATTTTGAAGGAGGAAAAGCTACTTTCACCCATTACATCTTCGACCATCACATGAAAGACATTGATGAAGTTTATGACGAAGAGCATATTGCCTTCCTGAGATTATAGTTGTCGCGCTGCATTTTCTGTTCGAGATCTCTCTAAGTGGAAAAGATGTTTCTTACTATGGCAAACCAACTACATGTTAGGTGCAAGCCATGCCTCATCCAGATAATATTGTGTCTGATCTATGAATCTCTATGAGAATCTGCCGAATACCCAAGGAATTATAAGTTAGGGAACATCGTGCTCTTTGCAGGTCCCTTTTAGTCACTTCAACTGTGGTTGAATGATACCTTTAAACCTTCACTCCCAACATACAATACCATCAACTAATAGGATGGAGAAATAAATAATAGGAGGGTCAAAGGAACAATATTATCCAATTTAACCCCCAATGATAAAGGATTGCATCTACCAGATTCCTTCACTTCATTCATGATGATGTTTTCCAAACGCTATAATTTCCCCCCTTTGATGGCTCCCTTCACCAATAAGACACGAGGTCCTAAATGGTTCACAAGAGAATTTCATTCCCCGGCATCCAGCCAAGAAGAAGAATCTATGGCCATATGATAATCATTTCTTACTCCCGAGTTACTTGTCAACAGATTGAGGCGTTCGAAGAGTCAGAGCATTTTGGTTAGTTACCAACCTAACCTGGTCTCTCGACAATTTGGCCTTATTCAAATAAATTCTAAACCTGTTTATGAGAAGAAAGGTGCTATATGCCTCTACAGTATATTTTTTGGCAAAGATGAATGTCAAAAACATTTATCCCGATACACTGATATCACCATGTTAACCCCCATCTTGTTTCGACCATCTTCCTATTGCACACAAGATTTTGACACTTGGTGGAGGGATTACTGCACCAAAGAGATCTTTGACGTGTCTGACTTTACTCGACATCTAACATGTGCTTTTGCCTTTATATAGGACCGCTTCAAGAAAGGTATGACCATTCACATCAAGGAGATTTGAGCATTGCAAAAATACTTTGAAACTGCGTATAGACTAGATAATGTTAGTCGAACCATCCATGATGCAGCAGTAACTTTGAAGGAAAAATTTATGAATAAAGTTCCTAGTTTTAGACTTCCTTCATGTGTTAAACCTAAACATATGCATGAGCTAGCTTTTAAGCTCGAACCTCCCAAATTCCCACGATTTCCAAGTGATAATTTCAGCCTGGCATTTGCACCTCCACTCCTAGGAATGGTTCATTTGTGGGTCTCAATTAAAGGTTCTTCAACAAGAATTTCAAAAAACTGCTAAACAGGTGGTTCTGACTAAGCATACACTGGACAATTTGAAAGGTCAACTTCATGTTGACGTAGAGCATGTTCGCATACTTTCCCAATACATGAAGGTGTGGAATGGAAGAATCCTTTGACTTGGTCCATAAAACTCTTTTACATGATTTTCTAAACTTTGTCTTATTTTTCTCTTTTCAGCCGTTGATCGAAGGCAGAGTGCCTAGGACAAAGCTATTATTACTGCCATCGCGAAAAAGTTATTTCTTCCTCCAAAGAAGTCAATGAAGACTAAGGGACTACCCTTACGAACACCAAAATGAAGGTATTTATTCGAGTTTAAGATGTCAATATTTTCATATTCAATTTTTACTAATACCTTTGATCTTTCAGATTAGTCGAAAACCTCCTCAAACTTGGAAGAAGCGTAAGCAAAGCCAACCAGACCCCATACCAATCGAAGCAGATCCTAAGGATCTATCTCCAGACATTTCAAAACCTGCTCAAAAGAAGAATAAATCGAAGACTTCCAACCCCTTCATTTAGAAAAAGATCACTGCTAAGCTCAAACCAACAAAGCCATTTGAATAGAGAGAAATAAACATTGATTCAAACCCAACTGGTATTGCTGCTGAGAATGTTGAGAGTGACAATACTAGCTCTGGGGCTGAGGAACTTAAGGTATTTTAATCTCAATTTACTCTTCTTTTCGTTATAGACGTTTATTTTTGATTGATACTGATTCTCTTTTCCTTTGTAGGGCGACCAAATTGGTACTGAGACTTCCATTATCAAATATGATGTCCCCGTGAGTACTGACTCTCGTTGTGTTCACCTTGTATCCAACAAAGGTTCGAACAAAGGGTCTAACAGTGATGTCAACCCTTTTGGAGAAGTTCAACAACATGTTCCAACTCCTAATTCACCTCACCCATCAAAATCATCTGAATCCGATACTGAAAGTGACAAAGATAGGCCTACCAATATGGATATTCAAGATATATAGGATCAAATCCAAGCTCAGTCAAAGAACTCAACCCCAAAAATCTCCAATCAAGACGAAGATGTGCTGGTCGATGAGGACGAACACATGTTAAATGCCAATGTAGAGACTCACAGCGAAAAAGAACTTAATCGTGATGAAGAACCTCACAACGAAGGAGAGCCTTAGCACGATAAATCTCAGGCGGAGGATGAAGGTGACACCAACCAATATTTTGGGATATTCAAGGAGTTTAGGCCCTCTTCGAACATCACTTCTATTTCTCTTTCTCAATAATTGTTGGATGACTTGAAAGCCAACAATCCCGTTGTGTATCTGAAAGAAATGATGAGTGTGAGAGCAAGTTCCTTAGAAAAAGGTACAACTTCTGTGACTGCCTTAGGTGGCCATTTCCCCAACCAACCTGCTGACCAACTCCTTCGCCAGATCAAACATAAGGTGTTTGACTTCAACCTGATTCAAGTGCTAGAAAGCAACATCAATGCCTGCTATGGAATTAAAGAGTTATTGTAACAGGTTGATATACTAAACATCTAGTAAGAGGTTGCAGATGTCATATTTAACCTTGGGTTTCTTCTCGACAACCTTTTTGCGGATTACTTTCGAAAGCAAGAGGCTTTGAACAAGATTGAGCATAAAGTGGAGACCCAAACACCAGAGTGGAATGCAGCCACTGAATCTAACAACAAAGTTGAGACATTGGAGAAATATTTTTCGCAGAATCAAGAGGATCTCAACATTTGTGCGAACAACATCTCTTCTTGGGAGAAACAAATTGAGGAAATGGAAGAGAACATTCAGAAGGCGAAGGATCTTCAGGAAGAGATCCGTAAACTCAATCACAAGCAACTTGATGATGAAATCGAGGTAGGTGTCCATCATGTCGAGAAGGCCCAAAAATTGGAAGCCGAGATTAAGGACCTGAAGCTTGGAAAGTTTGTGATCAAGCGTCGCTTGCTGGTGTCTACTGCAAAGTATAGGCGAATGAAGGCCTCTCTCCCAGTTGATTTTTGTACTTAGCGAAGATGTTGTTCTTATCTTTAACCTTATGAATTCGAATATTTGGATACTTTTTTGTAATGGATGCTTAAGCCTTTTGGCGAATTTTATCTTACCATTTTGGCCTTAATTTTCATTTGAGTTTTAATTTGTTGATATTTTGACTTCTTGAAGTATATATATTTTTGAAAATATTTACCGTTTACTCTTAGAAGTCTTTGATCTTCTGCTAGTTCTTCGATTTTGTAAGCATTGTTAAAAAATACTTGGATAATTTGGGTTGGGCCTTCCCAGTTTGAGGACCATTTAGCCAATGTTTTGCCCTTTCAATCCATAGGTAGTATCACTTTCCAAACTAACTCTCTGGTCGAAAAAGTTTTAATTTAAACCTTTTTATTATAAGCTTTCTCTACTTTCTTCTTATGCCTTCTTAATGATTCTAAGGTGTTTAATGTTTCTTCGTCTAAATCAACCAACTCATCCAACATCATATTCCAATAAGATTCAGATGGAATTTTGTGTTGTATTTTTATTCTAGTTGATTGTAGACAAATTTCGAATGGTAGTACTGCATCATGTCCATAAGTTAGTTGAAAGGGAGTATCATCAGTGGCCTCCTTAGGAGACATTCGACAAGCCCAAATAATTTGATCTAAAGTCTTGTGCCAATTCTTTGGCTTTTTTCCCCACATGCTTCTTTATCAAACCAATCACTATTTTATTTGTTGCTTCGACTTGTCTGTTCGCTTGAGCATAGTAAGGCGTGGATGTCAACAATTTAATTCCCACTTCTTTAGCAAACTCTTGCATCTTTCGACCAGTAACCACTGACCCTTGATAAGTTGTAATAGTCTCAGGGATTCCAAATCTATAAATTATATGTCTTTGGATAAATCCGATCACTGCTTCTTGATTAACATTCACCAAAGGAATAACCTCGATCCATTTAGTAAAGTAATAAATCCCTAATATAATGTATCTTTGACCCTTTGAAGATGCTGGTAAAATTTCACCAACCAGATCCAGGACCCAACCTCTAAATGGCCATGGTTTGATAATAAAGTGCAGTTCGTTTATAGGAACATGTTAGATACCTGCATGCACCTGGAATTTTTGGCATCCGTTAGCGAACTCGATGAAATATTTCAACGTTGATGTCCAATACAAGCCTTATAGAAATAATAACCACTTCATTTTGTGGCCAACTTGATGGGCTCCACATGCCCCACTATGGACATTCGATAAAGCGAAATATGCCTCACTTTCACTAAGGCACTTGAGCAAAATTCCTTCAGGTGTATTTTTAAACAATTTTTCCCCATAAGAGTGTAACTTAAAGAATGATACCCGATCTTTCGCTCCGCAGATTTTGTAGGATTTTCTATATGATCCGCTATTTTCTTTCTCCAATCCGTTTCTATTAGTTTGTCACTGGCGAAAATTTCAAAATGGTCCTCATTTTCATAACCCAACTTTGTTGTTTCCAAATCTGATGGAGATAGCCTGGTTTCCATGAATCTTCCTCGAACTTTGATCAGGTCTTCCAACTTCTCCTCCGACACCTTGTATCTAGATGCTATTTAAGCCAAGTCATTGGCCTCTTGATTCTTTAGTCGAGGAATATGTCTAATGTTAATGTATTCAAACTTTCACAACAACCTCTTTGCTACAACGAAATACATGATCAAATTTTCCTTGACACAATTGTGATCTGTAGTTATTTGTTTGACAAACAATTCATAGTCTCCTCTTATTTCAGCTCTAGTTGCCCCAAATTCCAACAAGATTTCAAGGCCAATTATTAAAGCCTCGTATTCAGTCTCATTGTTCGAACAAGGGGGGCCATCTATTATGTACTTGAATTTTGTTGGAATTTTGTTAGGAGAAATAATCAAAAGTCCAACTCTAATACCATCCTTTTTTGTGGAAACATCGAAGTACAATATCCAAGGTTCTAGTTCCATAAAGTTCTGGGGAACTTTGACCATAAAATGATCAACAATAAAGTCTACAACTACTTGCCTTTTCATAGCTTTTATGGGCATGTAAGTTAAAGAATATTCAGTCAAGGCTAGTGCCCATTTCCCAATTCGTCTATGTAAAATGGGTTTTGAAAACATATGTTTAATTATGTAAAAATGAGATGAAACATAAACATCAACTGGTTTTATATAATGCTTCAGTTTAGTATAAGAGAAATACAAGCATAAGCATAGTTTTTCAACCATACTATATCTAGTTTGTGCATCATTTATGACTCGACTAAGATGATAAATGGCTCTTTCGACGCCATTTTCATCTTCTTGACTGAACATGCTCCCTATAGTGACCTCAGACACAAAAATGTATAACCTCATACTCCTACTTGTACATGGGGGTGAGAGAATTGGAGGATGAACAAAATAGTCTTTGATTTTTGTCAAAAGCTTCTTTTTGTGCTTCCCCCCACTCGAAACCTTCCTTACTTATTCTAAGAAGAGGTGAAAAGGCTTGACTATTGCCACTTAAATTAGAGATGAACCTTCTCAAGAAGTTGATCTTTCCTAGCAAAGATTGTAATTCCTTTTTAGTTGATGCGCTTTCGCCTCCATAATGGCCTTGGTCTTGTTTTGATTTATTTCAATTCCTTTCTCGTGGATCATAAAGCCTAGGAAATCCTCTTCCTGCACATAAAAAGCACACATAATGGGGTTAATTTTTAGACCGTTTTTCCTCATACGGACTTAACAACAATGTCATCAATATAAAAAGCACACTTAAGGCAGTCTATGTAATTTTTCCCTAATTCAGAATTAACAACAATGTCATCAATATAAATCTGCATGAAAGTCTCAATGAAATAATGGAAAATAGAGTTTATTGATCGTTGATAGGTTGCCCCAACATTTTTCAAGCCAAAGGACATGACTACCCATTCGTAGGTTCTTGGGGAACCTGGGAAACGAAATTCCGTTTTGGGAACATCTTCGTTAGTAATGAATATTTGATTATACTCAAAGTACCCGTCAAGCATGCTAAGGTACTCGAAGCCTGCAGCTGAATCTATCAACATTTCTGCCATTGGTATATGGTATTCATCTTTGGGGTTGGAGCATTCAAATCTATGAAGTTAATGTAAACCCTCAAAGTTCCATTCTTTTTAATTACTGGAACTATATTAGAAATCCATTTGACATACCTAGTGGTGCGGATGAACTTACATTTGAGAAGCCTCTCGATCTCTTCTTTAATCTTCGCCAGGATTTTTGGTGCAAAATGCCTTAGAGTCTGCTTGATTGGCTTTTTTCCAGGCTTGATGGGCAACTTCAACTCTACTAGTTCCCTTCTTAAACCAAGCATTTTATCATAATCCCATGCGAAGCAGTCTTTATACTCTTTCAAGAGTTGGATTACTTTGACTTTGAGTTCTGGACTGAGGTTGGCGCTGATATAAGTTAGCCTTTTACCTTCTCCGTCTCCCAAGTCGATTTCTTCGAAGGGATCATTGTCATACCCCAAATTTTTCCTACCCTTATATCTTTTCATCTGACATATTGCATTGCATTTGCATACCTATCATTAGGTCATATTCATTGCTACACTCATGGGATCAAGGCTCATAGGGTTTCTCCTAGATCAAGATTATCCATCAAGCAAGAGTTTGATTTTACCATTGATTACACAAGTTCAAGATGCATTCTCATTTACAAAGTTATTCATCAGGTTCAAATGGCTTTCATCTAGTTAAACTAGGATTTTTGAGGTATCTTGACCAATCAACTGAAGAAGATTATTGTTCAAGGGCTCAAGGTTTTGAATTCTATCATCATGGCTATCCTCTTAACATACAAACTTATCACATTCAAGAATTTCTCCAAAAGCCACCAAGATATTAGGGTTTTGTCCATCAATAAACATTTCCTAATTGTTTGAACCCCAGCTAGTGTTTTGAATGAAAACAGGGAGTTGCACTTATGATGGAAAGATCGAGAAACCGGGTGTTTTTGACAAATGTCAACAAAAGTCAATTGTTGACCAAGAGGATTTTTGGTCAATTTTGAAGCCAAGGATCATTAAATTTGAGGTCTAAGCATGGAAATTCAATCAGAGAGATTTTGTCAAGGCAAAGGACTTATGGATTGATTTACAAAAGTGTGAAGTCAAGACATGATACAACAACGATGTTGTGATTTCCTTGATATCAAGTTATTTTGGTTCTCTTATCACCTTATTTATTCAAGTTTGATGGGGATTCAAGAATCTAATTGGGATGGATTCATTATTATAGAAGTGTTCATTCAAGTGATATTTGTTACCATGAGTCCAAATTTTGTTCAACCTCATCAAATATCATATGCATTTTGTTCGTAAGGACCTTTTTTTAAAAAAAAATTGCAAATTCAAGGTTCATAGTTTGACTTTAAGTGTCATTCATTAACAAGGGTTGTTGATTTAAATTACATTTAATTTTGGTTTTAGAACAAATAATTCAAGCCTTATGCTTCAAGGTCCATTCAATCACCTAAGAGCATTTACACATGGATAGTTCATTGGCAAAATCGTAATTCTTTTCAAGATATCTTTGGCTAAAGGCATGATACATCATAAGTCCAACAAATGCAAAAACAAAAGTGATGATTTTTTCGGTCTCAAGCAAAAAATGAAACTTCATTTGGCATCAGTGTAGCATTATTTCAAGGAGTTGACTTGTAAACCTCATCCTTAGGGTTTATCTTAACAAGTCGATACAAGCATAATAAAGAAAAAAGGAGTAAAATGAAAATCTGAAGAGATTTTTGGTTCAAATTTAGTACATCATGAGAACCATAACAATTTAAATTCACTATAAGAAGCATTTCAAAAGTCCAAGTTCTGTTACATTTTAAACACGGTCTCTTCCATCCAGTTTTCTCATACTTCACATATTCATTTGCTAATCTTAAACTGCTAAATCAAAAATGCAGCAAAATAATTTTAACCAAAACGGCCCTGCTGTCTGAGGTTGAAACATTAACTTTCGGTTTCTAAATGCTTACTCAGAA